TGTCGGTTGTGTGTTTTGCTTCAGCCGAGGATAGCTCCAATTCTTCTGAGCATTCACCACACTCGAGAAGGTAAGTGAACCTTTCTCTCATTATTTTTTCAATGGCAATTTTGCAGGAATTCTGTCAATGAGAGCGTCTTGAAGGACGAGCAGTACTGGGAACGCCGGCGGAAAAACAATGACGCATCGAAACGTTCCCGAGAAAAGCGAAGAATAGGAGACATGGTAATGCTTTCTTCTGAAGTTTCATTCCTCTGCAGCAGTATCGTGATCAAGCCTCGAAAGCTAAGAACAATAGATCAGCTCAGTACTGTTGCAGTACAGGTCTGATGACGCCCCTCTGACTAAGCAGTGGAGGAGGCAGATGCTCCATGGAAATGCAGATGACTTCGCCTAAGGCGTGGTCCCGTTTTAAAAAAATGTACATGTTTTGCACGGTATTGAATGCATTGCCATCACGGTGCCCCGTATATTGCGATAGCGGCGATCAACTCTTCATGTCTTACAAAAGTACACTTTTACCCTTCGCAGAACATGAGCAGAGTGGTAACAGGGTTATGCACCTATACAGGGACCTTTATGATCACGAGCGGAGCAACATATTCGAAAACCCTATCTGCCAGAATTCAGTAGGGCAATACTGGAGATTTATACACCTACTGGAAATAATTACAGGCAATGGAACAACGTATACTTGCGCTCTCACAGGAGAATCATTTACTAAAATCTCGCTTGGAGTCCCGTACAGCCGCCGAAAGTCTGCTACAGACCGCTCGGTCGGACTTTCCCGCTCTTCCTCCACAGAGCAGCACGGTAAGTAAAACTATGTAATAGCATACTCTGGATTTTTGCGCTCATATTAGTTGTTCTGAGGTGTTTATACTTAGCGATAGACATGGGTTAGATGAGCATCTTAGGGAGCCGTCGCGAAATACGGGGAATTAAGCTCAGCAGAAGGCAGGAAGGTTGGAATAAAATGAAAATTGCTCACACATCTGGATTCTCTCCTCCCTGTTGAAGCTCAGTCTTTGTGACCGATGCGATTCCGAGGAATGAAATGCCGAAGAAAGAACTTCTAAACTTTTCCTAAAAACAAATGAAGTTAGAGAGATTTTGCTCTTCGCTGGTTAGAAGAGCAGTGCGCGGTAACTGTTGTCCATAAAACCGCATTTGAAGCAGCAAATTGAAGCCTCCCATTTCAGTCATTGTTCACTCATCAATTGCCAACGTCGTCCGTAGGTTTGTCGTCACTAGCTGTTCCTCCACTGCCCACTCTTCATACGACCACCGTCTCCAGTCTTCCATTATCACATGTTCCGTTACTGTCGTCGACTTCTCAGCTACCAATCATGCAACTTTGCCAACTCCAGGCGGCTATTCATCAGCAGGTCAGTCCTTGTATGCCACTTTTCCGGTGCCATTCCTTGCGTTGGTGCAGATGAGAAGCCGGTTGTGCAGCTGTTCGAAATCGTCCATAGATGGCGCAAATCGAGGTCATTCGGGCTGCATAAATCGAGCACAAAGCCTGACGCTGTGCTTCTCAATTTCACGCATTTCGTATCGCGACAATTTTTGCCATTTCGCTTATATATAGCCACTCTTGAAAACTATTCGCTGGAATTTTTCAATCCGCATTTTTGAAAGTTCCAAATTACTCCATAATTCTGTGAGAGCCTTTTGTGAATTTCTTGTGATATGTACTACATTTCTCGGGCCTGAGTTATCCAAAAGTCTCGAATGGGATTTTTGGCACGTTGTTACTACATATTACATACTACTGCCCCAAAATCTCAAAATTTAGTTTCTCGTTGAAACTTTACTATGGAAGTATTTCGATGCCCTGATTACGAATATGATGTTCGATTTGACGCTGTGGTGGTCACTTTGTCATGACGGCTGTTTTCACAAATTCGGTGTGAAACTTGTGTATAGGGTTTATTTGGTGTCCTGATTACGAATATGACAATCGTTTTCGGAATTGGCGTCCAACGCACATTTTCTGCTCTCTGGACTCTCTCACTCAGGTGCAGTGCCTAAGGGCAAGCTTGCTGGGAAGAGGGGCACCGCGTTGGGTAAACTGCGCATTGTACGGCAAGAGGTGGAGTTTGTGAAATCACAGGGTGGGGCTTGCTCAAATCTGAGCAGTGTGAGGGCGCAGAAAAGCAGTAAATAGGCGCCAAATGGCGCCAACGCCAAAATAATGTCATATTCGTAATCAGGACACCAAATAACCCCTATACAAGTTTACACCGAATTTGTGAAAACAGCCGTCGTGACAAGGTGGCGCCAACTGGCGCCAGATGGCGCCAGCATCAAAAATGAATGTCATATTCGTAATAGGGCATCGAATTACCTCTGTAAGCAAAGTTTCGACGAAAAGCAAAATATGAGATTTTTTCTTGGAATTTTTCGAAGTATAAGCTGCTGAAGATCGGTTGAAGGTTTTGTAATCAAGCCAGCTTCTATTCAGTACCGCTCCACCCCGTCGTCGTCAGTGTTTTCTGTTGGTTCAGCGTTCCAGCCTTTTCACGCTCACAAGGAGTCGGTAATCATGAAGGCCGAGCGCATCAGTCCGGATTCGAGCAGCGATCGTGTCGATCGCGTAATTCAAAGAGGTGATCTTATCGGCTACCATAAAAACAACTACTCAAGAAGTTAACAGTTTTGTTTCCAATCAGTTCCTTCACCTCAACAACAACAAGAACGTGCTCCCTCTCATTCACTACTAGGCGCTCTACTGGCCACCCGTCGGACGTCGCCAGCAGTGCCACAGAGCAGGACCGAACATAACAGTCGCCTCGGCAGTCCTCCTAGGGTCAGTTGTACTTCATTAGTAGGAATTTACCTGAGTGGTTTATAAATAGGAAATTATCAGATCACTTTATATTAATTAACACCAGTCTTTTCAGCTTTCTCCGTCGAAAATCCGACTGCGAGTCAATTTCGTCGTCAGCTTCTCTGTCGCCCTCACAATCAAGCGAGGACCATCCAGAGTCGTCGGCGATCAGACGCGCTCTCGACGACAACAGTTCCGATGACAAAAAGGTTGACATATTTTCTGAAATCGGCTTTCTTTGTTATTTGTTTGTGGCTTTACTGCATTCCTAGGAACAGTACATGGATCGACGACGGCGAAATAACGAGGCTGCCAAGCGCTGTCGAGCGAATCGAAGAGCTGTATTCGAGTACAGGAGTCGTCGTGTACAGGTCCGTGATTTCCTAGGCCTCTTGAATGTTGCTCTAAGGACACTCACGTCACCGTTAACCACACCTCTTTACTGGTCTTTTTAAGCTTCTGGAAAACGAGAACGATCATTTAAAGGAGGAGATCGCCAAGCTGAAGAGAGAAGTCGATCAATTCAAGTCGATGCTCACCGCTCAAAACATTATGGACACTCAATAATCGTTTCCGATAATCGATTTATTGATTGATTCGTCGTTGTAGATCGTGACTTTTTCTTCTGCTATTTGTTCACCTTGACTTCTTTCTTTGAATAGTCAGTCTGAAGGAGGTTCTTCGGTGTGACCAAATTTTCCCATTGAATAGGTCGCTAGAGAAATGAGTGAGATTTAGTTTATCGCCAGCAGTTAGGTTTCATCCGACCTTCTTGCCTCTTCGTCACTCACTGCAGACAACCTTAGCCGATGATGCAATATATCTAGCGGTTCTAATACCTTACCCAGAGCCATGTTCCCACAAACTCATCCAGGTAGAACGCTGATCTATCTGTTATTACTGCCACCCTACTAATGTATATGTGCAATGTGCTGTGCTACATGCTTCTCTATAGACTGAAAGCTTTATTACGTCGCCGTTTTGTATTCGTACAATGAAAGATTTCTTATCATAACCCCGCGATCATCGTTGTCACTCAGAAATCAATCATAGGAGGATTTCAAGGTGTTCTCTAGAAGAGCGGTCCGTTCGTCGGGGAGAGAGTTTTTCCCTAGCGTTTTTGCGAATAATCCACCGTAAAAGAGCGATGACCTTGCGTCATGCTGCGCACAAAGAAAACTTCCCATTTACACAAAAAATCTCGAGGTCGAACGAGTGCAGCCACCATCGTCCTTCTGACGGGAGTATTTGTGCATACGGCTGACAATCATCGAGAGCCGGCTATTGTAGTAATCCGCTTCGTATCCCTAGATCCAGAATAAGCTAGCATGGGGATTTAGGCATATTCAGAATCAATCGCCTGCTGGTAAGGATTGAGCGCCAAGCACGTTTACGTTTTGCTTCTTTTTCGTATGATGCATATCTTGTATGGGAATGACCCGCTTTGAGTGAACGAAGCTTCAATGTAACTGTTTTAGTTCAAACATGTAGCTTCACGTTCCCACCGCACCGCTGATTGGGTCAAGCTGGCTGTTTTTTCCGTCCGTAGGAGAAAGGCGATCGACATTCAATCACCTCTGAGACTCTAAAAAAAACGATAGCGTGCTCGCAAGTTACAAGAGAAACTTACTCAGGTTTCCATTCCCGTACATACACTGCGTCCCATAATTATAACTCCACTTAAGAATCTTCCAAAATCTCACAAATCTATTAGGTTGTCTCATAAGTAGTGTCGCTTTTTTTCAACCAAAAAATTTTCATCTAAATCCCATGCTTTTACATCGAGTCATATACCATTCGAAAGAGAATTGTCTGCTCTACAAGATGCTGTGTTCTTCTTCCACCTCTGTTCCAGGGTTTTCAAATTTTAGGCCTGCGAAATGGGAGGTCCAGCCGACAAAAATTGACCAAACCGACAACTATCTCTAACTTTATCTTCCCTTGGGAGAAATCAATCAATGATGTACCCTCTACTTATCATGACCTCTTCTAACATTACACTATTAGGTTTCCCAACAAGTCGCGTCGTTCCATTTCCAGACCTGGTTTTTCAACCAGAACTCGACGGTCGAGCACCATTACCTGAGATCTAGGTCGAAATTTTTTTATAGCCGAGACATTGAAAAACTAGTAGAATTTAAAGAACAAGTCATGACTAAGTTAGGAATGTACGCCTGGTTGATTTTCTCATCTTCTCAAGGATAATTTTTTTCAAAGAAATGCGGTCACTTTCGTGGATAAAGCACCTTATCCTAAACACCTAAAATTCGAGCTAATTCCTAACAAACATAAAACAAAACAAATGAGCGAATAGAGCAGAAGAAGTGCTCACAAAAGATTGATATAAAACAATAGCGTTTCAGAGGAAGAATTTCAATTTGAAAATTGCCATGGCTTATCGGTCGGCCAATTCGAAAAGAAACAGGGCAAACCTTTTTCGGCAACCTAAGGGTGGAATGTTCAGAAGAGGTCATGAGTAAGTAGAGGTACATCATTGATTGATTTCTCCAAGGGAAAATAAAGTTAGAGCTAGTTGTCGGTTTGGTCAATTTTTGTCGGCTGGACCTCCCATTTCGCAGGCCTAAAATTTGAAAACCATGGAACATAGATGGAAGAAGAACACAAATCTTGTAGAGCAGACAATTCTCTTTCGAATGGTACTTGACTACGATGTAAAAGCATGGATTTTAGATGAAAATTTTTGGTTGAAAAAAAGCGACACTATTTATGAGACAACCTAATAATTTGCGAGTTTTGCGTTGTGGTGCAGCA